CACTTTTTATTTTTCTAAATTTGCAACTATCAGCAAACACACTGGTAAGACATGGTGGCACATTGCTTCCCATAAAATATACTTCATGTGAAGAACTGAATGTAAGGCCAAAAATCGGTAGAGATCAGAAAGAAATACAAATTGCTGTCTGCCATCTGGTAATAGGGTCAAATAGTGAAACATTGAGGAAAAAATATTTCTATCACAATTTATCAGAGAACCAAAACACTAAAATTTGGATGTTGGGCCAAGAGTTTTTTATTTAACATGCATCTCCAGGATGAATTAAAGTATTTAAGTTCCATCAAATTGGAGGAGAGAGGAGCCAAGAATAATCTTTATCAAGTTTTTACTAAACATAGGATTTGGAATGTTTTGTTCTTATTTGAGCATGAATACACTCAATGATAATAATGGGGGAAACAAATGGAGACAATAATTTTAGAACTTTATTAGGCATCTTTAATAACTTGCAAGATTCCATGGCTTCTGAGAAAGAGAACTAACATTTTATTTTTGAGACAACCTCTGTCACCCAGGCTGGAATACACTGCATAGCTCACCACAGCCTAGAACTCCTGGGTGCAAGTGAGCCTCCTACCTCAGCCTTCAAGTTGCTGGGACTGCACGCATGCATCACCACACCTGGCTAAAAACTAACCATTTAAATAAAATAAATACTAAGGTAAGGAGTCAAGATAAGGTAAAACTGGAAATGGTAAACAGAAAGCACCAATGACCTAAAAAGTCCAACAGCAAAATTAAAACCCATAATATAAATTGTAAAATTAATACTAATACATTAAATATGAATCAGGAATATGCAGAAGAGATCTCCCAGCATGCAAGTAGAAAACGTTTCTAAAAAGAAGGAGGGATGAAGTGATATATATAGAAAAAAGCAGAAACCTAACATAAGAACACAACCAGTTTGGAAAAATGAATAAATCTAATCACAATGAAAGCTATAAAATAAATATTTCCAAGATCATTAAGCGGCAATCTTTTTAAGAAGCAATATATTACTATATTTCTCCAAAAATCAATTGAGATCTTTAGAAGGCCTGGAAATATATCATATACACATTTTTACATGGTTGGATAAAATATCCTAATATAGCAAGTAACAATTTTTTTTATCAAATGAACAAGTACTGTGTTGCTGATTTCTCAACAATATTTACATAAGAATGTAGGGAAGATTTATGTAAGAATGTTATATCTTTAAATAGCAAAGTTTATGACACAGGAACTTAAAATCCAGCCACATTCTCTTTCATAACTGGAGGCCACAAAAATATCTTTTTTTTTTTTAATTTATTTTTTTTATTGCATTTTAGGTTTTGGGGTACATGTGAAGAACATGCAAGATTGTTGTATAGGTACACACATGGCAGGGTGATTTGCTGCCTTCCTCCCCTTCACCTATATCTGGCATTTCTCTCCATGCTATCTCTCCCCACCCCTCCATCCCTCCCCTATTTCCCCCACAACAGACCCCAGTGTGTAGTGCTCCTCTCCCTGTGTCCATGTGTTCTCATTGTTCAACACCCGCCTGTGAGTGAGAACATGCGGTGTCTGATTTCCTGCTCTTGTGTCAGTTTACTGAGAATGATAGTTTCCAGGTTCATCCATGTCCCTACAAAGGACACAAACTCATCATTTTTTGTAAATGCAGGAACCTAGAAAAGCCAACATTTACATATTGTATTTGAAGAAAATAGAAAGTATGATAAAGGCAAACGGGTTATAAATTATGTATATTAACTCAGGATTAAGAAATCCATGGTAACAATGGAGTATAGCTGGGCAAGGGGACATGGAATTTGGTAAAAGTATATTTGTAAGTTGGAAGTAAAATTAGCTTAAATAATAAAATATAACTAACACATATATAATACTAAAATCCACAATAAAGGCATAATTGTCAGCTTCAGACTTTATTTATTTAAATGTGAGAAAACTATAGGACAAAAAGATGCAAAGGTAATTGTACAGATAAGGCACTCAAAACTATTCCATCATTTTTTCTCTCAATAATATGATATAAATAAATAAGGAGGTGAATTCTTAAAAACTCCTCAGTTATGCAAATTAAATAAACAGGTATATCTACCCAAAACACTGAATATAGGAACATGGGTTATTTCATTGTATATTTCTTGCCTGGATTAGTATAATGTTTAAAGAGATGACACTTATGTGTCAAGAGCCTTTATGATAGTTATTTGATCTCCAAAGCTTTAGAGCTGAAAGGATTTGGAAGCTGTTGTCAGTAATGGCAGAGACAAAACTGCCATTTTATTTGATATCACTTTGATATTTGGCCTCTTTTTAGTTCTATGGATTCAGAAATCTTTTAGGGTCATACATTGATATACAGTGGACAACACTTTTGTCTTAAAATCTAGATAAAAATATTTTTAAAAATTATTATTGAATATCTTTAGTCCCAAATTATAAAAACCTAATATTATTTAAAATAGTTTTTCTAGTATGTCTTGGTCTTTGGTCTTTTAATGAGTATAGAAGCAATAAATTAGTTCTCTGTCACATTCCAATTTTGTCATACTTCCAGACAAAAGGATTGGAGTGCATCATTTTTTGCTGAATAAATTTCATAAAATAAATAAAATATAGCAATAATGTACTAATGAAATATCAGTGGCTAAGCAAATGTTTCCCCCTTAATTTTATTTCTCTAACTCAATTAGAACTAATAAAATTTGAATTACAAGGCAAGATGAAATAAAGGCTTTAAATTACTTTGTCATAATCGTTACTAAAGTGATCATTTATTTGTATAAATTAATGAAATAGAGAAATAGAAAAGTAAATGAATTGAAGAAAAGTTTATCTGAAGGGTATTCTTTAATAATTTTATTTTTAGAAAGATTTGTTTTCTCCAAGAAATAATGATACCTATTTTAAAATTACTAGGTAAAGCATTATTTACTAGACCTCACCTTAATAATCACTAAGGCTTCAAACTTTAAATGATAGAAAAACGGAATTTATGTCTTTGTCCTTAATGAATTGGAATGTCAGGAAAGACAACAACATTCTATGCATTCCAACAAGAAACAGACAAGTCTCTGTTGAGAAGTATCATTTGCATAAAATGTAGTATCTGAATTTTTTTCTAAGTTCTTCTCAAAAATCAAATGTATAACTGTGTGCCAATTTATTTTTATTTTCTAATTTCCTTTATACATTCTCTCCAAAAAAATTTGCTTACAACTGCCAACCAATTCAATATTTTCACTATTCTCATTGTCAACCAGATTGTTATTTCTAACATTTTAATCAAAATAAGTGGTTCACATTTAATTGTCCCAAGGTAATATGTGGAGATGGATATATAGTTTCAGGTAATTTTAGGATGAGAAATTCTTTTCATTTATTCATTGATTTTTTAAGTATCTATTATGGTTTAGGTGATGAGAAAATATATATAAACAATAAATAAGAACCTTTGTAATTTTATAGTGCTTGAATTGAAGTATGGTATTTGCTGAAAATAAAAATAAACCCTTGATGCTCTACTCAGGAGAATTGTTTAATTCTCATCTCTTTTACATATTCTTAAGAATATATAGAAGGCTCATCTACATAAGTTAAGAACACTTAACTTGCTCTGGAATCATTGTGAAAACAAATGTCTTTGATTTCCTAGTAGCTATGTAACTCACAAAAATAAGAGAAAATAAATTTTAAATAAATTTGTATCTAAAAATTGATTTATGTTTGTACTATCTTAGGACATAATAATATTTCACAAATAAAGTATCAATTATAAAAATGTGTATTCCATATAAAGAGGTTTAAAATTAAGTAAGGTGTTGCATTGAGAAAATTTTCTACACATACTGCCTTCAAAGATGTTTAATAATATTTCACACTTAAATGAAGATATACAAATGATACCTTTACACTCTTTCTCTTTCTCTCTGTCTCACACAGGTATATGCATGCTCTTTTAAAAATTCAGAATGCTAGTAACAAATAAATCCTTGAGGGGGGGAAAAAAAGCTCTTTATATGCCAAATTGCTGAGAAAATGTTCAGCTATTTTTTTCTACTCTCTTATACAGAGAACCTCAGGTGTAAATTTCTTACAGTATTTTGATCAGATTTAGAAAATAGTTGAAAGAGGAAGAACAAAGGGAGATGATACAAATGACAGAAAACTTAAGACATCTTTGGATGAAAAAAGAATCTGAATCAAGAAAATATAATTTTTGATGCTTATTACACTTTGAAGAAAATAAAGTGGATTAAGGAGTGAGAGATGACTAGGCAGGAAACTGGACAGGGTAGACAAGGATGGCCTCTCTAAAGGGGGCTATTGAGCTGATATTTGAGTGATAAAAAGGAGTAGCCTATTAGAAGTTATGAGTCAAGCATTGTACACAAAGAGGAAAAGACAAAGTAATGGAAATAGCTATAACCTATTAGAGAATATGTGAGAAGTCTTACATGGTTGGAACAAAATCAGTAAGTGTTTCAGAAGAAGAGAGTAAAGACAGGTAAATATAAGGTGGGATGAGATAAAGAGTTTATACCTTATTTTGATTAATGGGAAATAATTATTGGGTTTTACGCTGACTAATATTTGTAATCTGAATTAGAATGTGAAGATTACCACAGCTGTCTCACAGGTCATCAATAGTTTGGGAACAATAGAATGTTTTAGAACTGTTAGCAGGTTACTGGAAAGTTTATGTAAAAGGTATTAGAGACTTTAAGCAGGACCAACGCAGTAGTGTTTTAAGAAATAGTTCACTTTGGATACTTATTGAAAGAATAAATAAAAAGATTACATAAGGATACAATGACTAGAAGGATCAAGGAGAATGCCTAGTGTTTTGGTCTGAGACTGGATAAATTGAAGTAGTATTAACTATGATGTATAAAACAGACAAGAGCAATTTGTGAGTGGAGAAACACCAGAATTTAATATTCAAAATCCGAGACCAAATATTGGAATTAATAAATTCATCTCGGTGATGAGAACTTTATCAAGTTATGCTACAGACATTTAGTGATGATAAAGTATGTCTGAGGATAAAATAAGTAAATAAATTTACCTATCAGGAAAGCGTTGTTGGAGAAGTGAAAATGACAAAACTGAAAACAAGTGTTCTCTGACGTTTTGTGGTCTGGAGTAGACAGAAGAGCAAAGGCACAAAGAGTGATCAGCCAGTAAGCCTTGAGGGATGCTAAGAGAATGTAGTAACATGGAAACCAGTGCCAGTGTTTCTAGAATTAGAGTGTTAACTGTGTGAATGCTAATGGGAGAGTTGAATATGGGCAATAGACTTGAATAGACAATATGGTGCACACTGGTGACCCTATAATAAATTTCAGAGGTCCAGTGACAAGGATGAATGGAGGAGACTGAAGAGAATGTGCAGTGAATGAATGGAAAAATCATGCATCTGCGTCCTTCAAAAAGTTTATTCTAAAAGCGGACAATGTTTATTTGATAGTAGTCAGAGAAATATCATGTTCAAGAATATGGGACCTAATATATCAAGTGCTATACAAATAGTAATGTGTTTCCAGATGTTTTTCTAGTCAAAAACAAGGTAGGAAGGAAATTTCTAGTTCCCAGAGTAACTGATATAAATATTTATTATAATGAAATACATTTTAAAATGTCAGCACTCCAAGAAAGAACATTTTCAACAAATTTACTTTTTTTTTAACAATAATAGTTAATATTTATAAAGTAACAGCATTAGTTTCTTATATTTTGGCTGATGAGTTTCTTTGAATTTTTCAAAAGTCTAATAATTGAAGACTTCCCTTCAACTCCCTCCCCATATTCTAGGAAGGATAGATAAGTATAGGGATATACATAGTTTACTGTTATTACATTAATGTAAAGCAGGAAAGGCTGAAAAACAAACCTCCCTGAACACCGAGCTGGGAAGGAAGTGGTGATTTATTCGGCCGGGGGGTGCAGCAGGTCTGGATGCCCCAAATAGCCGAGCCCTGAACAAAGAAAATCCCTGCCCTTGTAAAGTCTTACATCTCTAGAAATTATACATGAAAAGTTCTTGGGCTTACAACTCTAGAAATTATACATGAAAGGTTCTTGGGCTTACAACTCTAGAAATTACATGTGAAAGGGTCTTGGTCCATGGAGTAGGCATGGGGTATGTGGCGTAGGTGGGGATTTGATCCTGTTTAAGTAAAAACAATGCCTTCCAGAAAGATTCCTTCATACCATGTCTGCAATCTTTAGGAGAGTGATTAAAGGTGGCGCCCAGGCTGCCAGCCTTTACTTCTCCTATTGTAATGCAATGTGGAAGTCAACGGGGAGGTGGTCTTAGATGCTTAGGTCTCCTTCCTCAAATGTAATGTAATAGTTGGTCTGACCAACAATTTCATTTAAAGTACTGCTAAAACTTGTCCACATTTTATAATTAAGGTGAATGTCAGTAATTTCATCAAATTACAATCTTTTGTTATTAAATGTATTATCCTGAGATGTGTGATTTCTGTATCCTTTAATAGAAATATTTTGAATAGGAAACATTTCTCTTTTTATAGAGTCAGTATCAAGATTTATTTCCTCCTCCTTGTTGAAACCTATGCAAATATCTCTTGAATAATTGAATTGGCCCAAACTTGGTGGAACTATGCCTACTTCATAATTGTTTATGAAATACATCTATTTTTTACCAGAGGAAGCAAAGAGTGTTACATAATAAATGACTAGAAGGACCTCTGTCATGTAAGACAAAAATTTCCTTACTTCCCTTGTGTTTTGGTCTGTTTTGTGTTGCTATAAATGAATACTCTGTGGCTGGGTAATTTATAAAGGAAAAGGTTTATTTGGCTCACATTTCTAATAATCTAGAAAACTGAATATTGGCCATCTGCATCTGGTGAAGGCTTCAGTCTGTTTCTAATACAGGAGTTGTTAAGAAATAATTTTTAGGCAGCTAGAAAGGGTGAAAGTTCCAGGTGGAATTTTTCTTTAACAAAAAAAGCAATTCCCAAACTATTTATTTTTCATCAGAAGGAGCTTGAAAAACTAGACCTGCAAGCACTGATATGCAAATACTGGCAGCTAGAAGCCAGGTCCACCCAATATGGTGGCTCTTGCCCTCTTTTCCTTGTCACCAGGTATGCCAGGTGTCATGGCAGCCTCCAGATAAAACCATGTGTGTGGGATGCCCAGTCTTTTTTCAGGCTATGTAAATGGCACACCTGGTCAAACCAATCCCCTGGGCCCTGTGTAAATCAGTTACCGCCTCCTCCAGCCTCTGTACAAAACCAGTTGCATTCCACGAAAACCCGGAAACCCTCTTTTGGGCTTTCTCAACATGAGAAACTTTTTCTCTCACTTTTCTTCTCTTTCTATTAAACTTTCTGCTCCAAACCCACTCCTCATGTGGGTATATGTCCTGAATTCTTTCTCGACCAAGACCAAGAGCCAGAATGCATACCCCAGACAATAGAGCCATTTCACTTCCACTCGTGGCAGAAGGCAATAAAAGCCAGTATGTGCAGAGATCACATAACAGGAAAGAAGGGAGAGAGAGAACAGGGAGGTTCAGGCTTTTTTTGTAAACAATCAGCTCTCAAGAGAATTAATACAGTGAGAACTCACTCACTCCTCCCACCCAAAAAATGTTATTAAACTACTCATAAGGGATCTAGCTTATGACCCAAACACCTCCCATTAGACCCCACCTCCAACACCGGGGATCAAATGTCAGCATAAGGTTTGCAGGGAACAAACATGCAAACCATAAGACCAAGTCACAAAATGTTGCAGTGAAGAGTTGAAAAAAGAGGTTAGGTGTGTGAGAGGACAGTTCTGGAGCAAACAAGTGAGAACAGGACCAAAGACACAAGTTAAAAAGCTGGAAAGCTGGTCTGAAATAGAAACAAATACAGGCCATCTTTTGTAACTAATGAGAGGAGAGAGTTTATGAGTGGAGATACAGGTCACTATAGAAATCTGAAGGTAAGAAGTAGAGGAAATTATCTTCTGAAAGTTTCTATTTACTCATGGAGAGTAAATATCATAAACTCAAATAAAAATGAATAAAACTAGGAGTGTTTAAAAGAAATGGGGCCGGTCACGGCGGCTCACACCTGTAATCCCAGCGTTTTGGGAGGCCAAGGTGGGTAGATCACTTGCGGTCAAGAGTTTGAAACCAGTATGGCCAACATGATAAAACCCTATTTTACTAAAAGTACAAAAATAAGCCTGACATGGTGACGAGTGCCTGTAATCCCAGCTATTTGGGAGGTTGAGGCAGGAGCATCACTTGAACCAGGGAGGCGGAGGTTGCAGTGAGCCGAGATCACTCCATTGTACTCCAGCCTGGGCAACAAGAGTAAAACGCTGTCTCAAAAAACAAACAAACAACAACAAAAACAAACAAACAAACAAAAAACAATTCCAAGGGTGAAATATTCATTTCAATAAGTGGAACAAACAAAGCACATACACTAAGAAATATGGGAAGATTAGCATTCTACAGAGTGCCAGATTTCTACTTGGATTTTGCTTTATAAATGTAAAAATGAGACCAATTGGCTTTTTGCATTTTTTTTCTGGCTTCTAAGTACCACCATGTTCAGGCAAGAGGATTGAGTTAAACCAAGGTAGAAGTTATAAAAAAGAAGAGCAGAGAATTCAACAGTGTATGCAAAGAAGTAATTCTAGACGTGACATTTACTTGATTTTTAAATTTCTTGAAAATAGTTATTTAATAGGAATAAAGGAATATTCTGTGGCTGGGTAATTTATAAAGAAAAAGGTTTATTTGGCTCACATTTCTAATAATCTAGAAAATGGGGAAGTATTTATTTAGCAAATAATTTTAAACTACTTCTTGGTACCCAGTCAGATAGTGTTGTAAATAAATTTCAAGGTCTGTATTTCAAAGGTGATCTTCTAAAAGTAAGAATAAATGTTCTGCCTTCTTTCCATTATCTAGTTTAATGGTTACCTGTAAGAGATCTATCATTCTATCTCTAGGTATTACTATTAAAATAATAAAATGACCTTACATTATAATTAACCTCTATAACTCATTAACCTTAAATTGTAATTAGCTTGAGACTTCCTGAAACAATTGTTTCTTGACTTAGATATTCTAATCTAGTCATAGTTACCACATTTTAGATACATATGTACACTTTCTCATGATACAATCACTATTACTATAAATTTATTTTTCTCTATTGGGCTTTTCTCCATCACAGTATGAGAAATGCAACTTTCAGAAATTCAGACCCTTTTAAATACATATTTTTAATGACCTTGGTTATGGATGATACAATTATGCTTTACCTGAAGTATTTGAAATGAACTTTGCTAATCATAAGTATTTTAAGTTTCTTCTTCCAAAGATTAAATCTTTCCCCTTTGGGCTTCTTCTTTTTTTTTTTTTTGAAATCCAAGATATCAAGACCAATACCTACAACTATTTAATTTCCTTGTCTTTGACCAAACAATATAATTTCAACATCATATCTTTAATATCTGCAATTATAGGGAACCTTGCTTGTTAGCTTCCATAGATCTCTATTCTAAATTATCTGTTAGTGATGATAAATTCTATAGAAGTATCTTTCCTGGGCCATTAACTTTCTGTAAGAGGAAAATGGTTGTTTCCAGGCGTACCACTGAAGCAGATTGGGCTGTGGGTGGAGGGTTGGATATTTTTCTTGAGAATTAAAAACTTCAAAACACTGTTGATATGGTTTGGCTCTGTGCCCCCACCCAATGTCATCTTGCAGCTCCCATAATTCCCACCTTTTGTGGGAGGGAGCTGGTGGGAGATGATTGAATTATGGGGTGGATCTTTCCCATGCTCTTCTCATGATAGTGAATGGCTCTCAGGAGAGCTGATGGTTTTAAAAATGGGAGTTTCTCTGAATAAGCTCTCTCTTTGCCTGTTGTCATCCATGTAAGATGTGACTTGCTCTCCTTGCCTCCCACCTTGAATGTGAGGCCTCCCCAGCCATGTGGAAGTGTAAGTTCAATAAACCCCTTTCTTTTGTAAATTGCCCAGTCTCAGGTACGTCTTTATCAG